AATCTATAGTTGCCGAAGGGATGGATCAGATTTTATAGGTTTTGAAACTGTTTTAGTGTAAATTTCTTTCCAACATGTGCTATATGAGGCTGCAATTAAAACTAATCCCAAGAAATCAATTAAAGCGAATAACTTTCTTCGGGCCGTTCATAAAATATAAGTAACGTATTCGAGATTGTTTTACCTCACCTTTGGTGAAGTAGGTCTCCATTCATTAACACATAATAAGGCTATCATCGACCCCCCTCCCCCATCCTTTCCTCAGTTAATTACATTTTTAATGAACAGCCCTTTGGGAGAGAGACGTCGAAACAAAAATTCGGAGGTTGAAAGGTTCGTTGGAAAGTGATGCCTTGAGCTATATATGCACTATCTTGATGAAACAGCTTCCCACAATTGGCCCACTTACAGCGTGCCAATTCTATGTGGGTATTTTTTAATCAAGACCTCAGACTGGATACATCAACACCTCAATGATATCGGGTACGAACGGGCCGTGATCAGAAGGATAATCACCCGCCGATCTGGGCTTTTTCTATTTGGACGAGCTTCGCTGAGCCGCGGTTTGTCGGGTGTTTGCGTGTTTTAAAGTGAGCTGGGAAATTGATTGAATCAGCCCTCCCTCCGGATCGAGCACATCAAACGCCCTTTCGCGCGCGCCTTGATTTTATCGAGATGAATCCTGCTTTCCCTGTTGTCTCGTGTCAAAAAAAATAATGTACTAGAATGGGGTAGGGAAAAAACCGGTAGTAAAAAGAGACATAAAGAGCTCAGGCACGTAGCCGGAGTTCAAAATCTTACGTGAAAGCATTTTTTTTTGCCACCTGGTGTAATGACCACCAACCTATAACGAATAATAATACCAGTGAAATTACAATTTGCAACCTTGAAATGCATGCCGAAGTACGTAGTGCTTCTGAGCCGTTCCGGCGCGTCGCGCCAAAATTCAAATTAAGAGGTGGATAACTTTTAGCCGGTCGGCTCCTCTTTTTTACCCATTCTGATGTATTCTGAATAAATAGAGCCAAACCGGTACAACCTAGTACCCATTCGTTTCGTGGCAGATCAGCAAAACAGCCCAGGAAATGTGTCATTCAATAATTTTTCTAGTTTCACTGAGCTCTTCCAAATTCCTTCCAAATTTTTCTTGTGCAGTTTTGTTGTAAGGCAAAATTTTTCTAGGAAATCTGGGTGTTTCCTTGGTAATTTTAAAACCACCCAGTGAGACAAAAAACCCCTGAAATGCAATTACATTCTTTCGTCTGGGTTACGGCAAATTGTGTCGATTGAGTATTTAGGAGGAAGGTTACTCACAAGTACATGCTATGACCTCGGGGTAGAAGCATATCATCGTGGAGGACATGAAAAAGTCGAGCACGGGTGTACTCCTCAAGTCGGAGCTGAATTTAAATTGACCTCAACTCGTACTCGGCTCCAAACTACAGGGTTCTGCCCGAGTAAAAACTATTTTTAGGATTGCGTAATGGCAGAAAAGAGCACGGCAGGCTTTTATTTCCTCCGTAATGAATGACAGGGCGAGATTTCTGCAAATCGCGACCGCCTTTTCTCCGCCCGCTTCTACGCAACAAGATTTAAACAAAGTAAGAATGTAGGACGCCTTATTTCTTCGTGAAAAATATCTCTGAGAAACAGCTTTTGGTCCCCGGCGGACTGATTTACTAATCAGAGACGTTCCATTCAATTAGACTCGGCTGTATTGACGACAATGGAAAAAATTAGGTGTGAATCGTAAGACAATTCGGTAGACTATTTCCTGCGGAATAATTTGATCGCATTTAGCAAAAAGCAACCGGCGAGATTACAGTGTTTTCAAAATCTTGCAGCTTCTTCTATGCTTTTAAAAATACTTAATATATGTAGAGTATTAAAATTCACATGATTATTTTCCTTTAAAATTACCAGTTTTTGGCGGGAAGCAAAAATGATTACCTATTCAGGGATATTTTCTAGATATTTATAAAAAAGCAATATTTTAACAACACTGTTTTAGCTTGCATTACAAAAATTATAGTCATGAGGATCGTTGTCTTGTTTCTCAAACGATTCAATAAAAAGGCACCCAGAGGGTATTTCAGAGGTTGAGAGGTGAACCTCGAAGTCTAAGTTTCCACCTGCCACCTAGATGTTCATGGAGGGACTCTATTCATCTCTGACAAACCCCGTCAACGGTAACGTCCATATTACCGTACTGAGAAAAACGACGTATGAACAAGCGAATGCTGCCAAATCTCCTCCCTTAAGACGTTCATTTTTACGGACAATTATGATTATTTATCTTTAAAATTTTCAGGCGTTACGGATGAAATTGCAAATTAAAGTCTCTGAAAAATAGGGGGGGGTATACGTACGAAATTCCTAGAAAATTCACATTTTATGAAAGAAAATTCACATTTTATGAAATAATATGCGGCAACGTCTGAAGGCCCTTACGGCGTTTTCCTCCTAGCGCGGTAGCATACCTTTTTGAGCTAAGTGACATTTCCGCATATTCCGCTCAGTTATCGCCATTAAAAACTTTTCAGCTGAAAGATGCTCGCAGCGACAAGGTGCAGCTGCCCGCGCATAAATAGTTGAACATTAGAAAACGTCGGCTGCCTGAAAATGGCTGCGCGACCTGGAGTAATTTCCCCGGAAATTTGAAAATAAGTCTTCGTGGAGGTGTCGAGCCATGGTGTTGGAGCGCCTAATGACGGTATAAGCTGATATGAAACCTTCATTTTGGTTCGAGCGCAGTTTCATTAGCATGTCATGATGCATGCTTTTGTGCAAATTTTAATACGCGTCAGCTCTCCCGCAGTCTCGCGGCATCCTTGCGCCCGCCGCCCGCATATCGCATATCTATCACGCAGATGCCTTTGAGTTCGCCATCAATTTCGGTCAAGAGCCTTCTCGAACCTCTCATATCGACATTTCGTGGAACTCAGAAGAAATTTCAACATTACTCTACGGTGAAAAGATATTGGAACTGCTGATCCTCGCTTATTTCCGGTCAAACTCATAATTGAAATTTCATAGTTTATAATTCATAATTGGATGGGATCAACCCTCGTTGGGTTATTTAAAATTGAAAAAAAGTAATAGTAGTAAGATAAGTTTATTTTAAAACGGTGCTTTAGCATCTAAAGCCATTTATACCTACGTGTGTTTACATGGAAATCAAGGTTACATCAGTGAAAATACAAAAGGGTTGAGGGGTAAGGTTAAATTTTGAGTTCAGAAAAAAAAAATTTAGCGGAGGAAAGGACGACACGAACAAATCTCGTAAGTTACCCGCATAGTTCTGGTTCGCCTTACATTGTCGAGGGAGGCCAAGTTACATTATCTTGCTTGCAAAGATTTTCAGTACATTAAAGCATTCATAATTGTACTATTTCCTCAATAAGGAAAACATGCACCCTTAAAGGAGCGTTCATAAATTACGTAACGCATTTTTATTTGTTTTTTTCCCCTCCTTCCGCCCCCACTTGTAACGCCAGGTCCGGATTTAGAGAGTGGTCACATGGGCCGCGACCCATGGCGGCGGATTTTGCAATTTTTTTAAAAGTAAGTATAAAAAGAAAATCGGATACAGAAAAAAAGGGATAAAAAAAAATTACAAACGAGAAAAGGTGACAAAACCTCTCATTTCCTGAGAGTTTAATTCTAATTTTATCGTTTTTCGGTGATACAAGAGACAGCACCTTTAATTAGTGAGTTAAGAGAGAAACCGAACACGCAATTTGGCCTGGAACGGCGCGTCGCAGAGAGCAATGATGACGAGGACTTGAGATGCAAAGGAGAAACCCGCGGCACGCGGCGGTCGGCATGTAACACATTAGCGCCTACAAGACTGCATGAATACTTCACACATTGCGTCAAATACAGTGCGGTCGTTGCGGTCAGCAGCGGGCGGCGTGAAACGACTAGCGCCTACAAAACTGCATGAATACTTCACGCATTCCGTCAAACGCAGTGCGTTCAGCAGCGGTCGTCGACGTGAAGGCACACCGTATACAAGACTTTGTAGGAATACTTCTCGCGTTGCGCCAAACACAGTGCAGTCAGAGCGGCGCGGCGGCGGAAGATAAATTTATTAAACCACATTTATGTTTGCTCTTTCAGATTTTTTCGTTCATTTCTTATAAATGAAAGGTTTTGTCCACATAGAGATTGGTTTACGGAACCTAACTTCCGTGCAAAGTTCCATGAACTTTTACTAGTAGTGTTGACACTCGAACTCGTGAATCCCTGGTCCATTCCAGATTATAATCTTTGCAATCGGTGTGTCCAGGACACAGGTAGTCTGGCAACAGCGTTTACCTTCGGAGTCGCTTGTTACATAACGAACCAGTTTTCACACCAGCTCAGTTACATAAGCGACTGGTTTGTTGTATAACAAACCAGTTCCTGGGCTCCCATATAAATACAGCCGCGGAACGGCTGTTAGTTCAGTATGCGCTCTGCACCACTCACCTCCTGGGTACGCCTGTTTAAGGTTACCTTCCTTTGACTGGCTCGCCTGTTTAAGGTAGCACGAAGTCATTCCCGGGTACGCCTGTTTAAGGTTACCTTCCTTTGACTGGCTCGCCTGTTTAAGGTAGCACAAAGTTATTCATACCCTTCCTCATTTCTGCACGGGGCAACTGCCGCAATAATTTAAACAAGATTAGGTTCTGTTAAATTAAGGAATATTTCAGTTGAAAGTACATATTATTTTGTTTTCTCGTATCATTCATTTTCGGAGGTTCTCAATGATGACAATTTCGCGAGGCCGTGCGCCAACTTCGAATCTCTGAGAGAACCTCCCCTCCCCATTTCCGGGAAGATAGTCCGGCAATCACATTGTCTCTCAACGGCACCTTGCCGTATCATTCATGGTCCTCCGAGCCGGATCTATCTATCAATTCCCACAAAGGCAAAATTGATAACGTGAATTCAACGCTAGGAAATACAGAACTTGCCAGGATTTTCTTTGGAACGCAATTCCAAAGGAACAAAACATGGCCGGTGACGTGCCTCCGGAAGGAGAGACCGGTGGTAAAAGCACATCGGACGTTGATGTAAAAAGGGCCTTTGAAAGGCTACAGACCCTCGCACAAGAGCGCCAGCAGATTTTTGCCGGCACACAAAAAATCTACGACCGATTGACTGAGGAATTGAAGCCCAACAACGTGGGCCATTTTCAATATGATATGGACAGAATTGTCAAGCTACAGGACAATATGGACAGCTTACACAGAGAAATCATTCAGTTGAATCCTAAGGTCCCCGAAAAATACCGAGTAGCCATTGAAAAGACGGAAAATGCTTTCGAAGCAATTGTACATGCAGCACAGGTTTTATATCTGTCTACCCGAGAAAAGGCTAACAGCGGACCCAATGCTAAACCTAATCCAAGTGGCGCCCAAAGCACCGTTAAGCCCCACATTAAACTACCAAAACTGGAGCTTCCAAAATTTTCAGGAAAGATAACCGAATGGTCCGCGTTTCATAGTTTATTCGACGTCAGCATTCATCAGGCCGCTACGTTGTCAGACATCGAGAAGTTCCAATTTTTGATATCGAAGCTTGACGGTGAAGCTAGGCAGCTAGTAGGCACTTTGGAGCTGACTGGAGAAAATTACAACGCCGCATATGAGGCCCTCTGCACCCGTTACAACAATCGAAGACGGCACGTCCATCACCACCTAAGCAGCCTCCTTGACCTTCCAGATATACAGCACGATTCAGCATTGCCAAGCCTATTATGCAACATTCAAGAACACATAAACGCTCTGACCGCTCTGGGGCATAACAAGGACTCCTACATTTTACTCCTAACCACGGTACTATTGAGGAAATTACCATTCAGGTTACGAAGACGTTTGGAAGACGCAAGAGATGATGCAACTACGTATCCAACATTTGAGGAACTTGAGCGGTTCTTACAGGCGGAATGTTCCCAGCTGGACAATTATAATACCGCTACAAAAGATCAGAAGACTGAACCTAAGTTTCACCGGGCCAAGCCCGAAACCTCACGACACTTCATGGCAACGGAAGGCAAAGGAAAGGATGAAGGCCCCAAATGTCCCCTTTGCCCACAAACCCATCCGATCTACGTATGTAAGGATTTCAAGAAACTCCCGATCGAAAATCGTGCGGAGAAAATCAACCAATGGAGAAGGTGCACTAATTGTCTAAGCGACTCGCACTCCAGTGCAAGGGGGTGCCCCAGCAAAAGATGTTGCAAAATTTGCCAACAATCCCATCACACCTTGCTGCACAAACCTCAGCCAAGTTTTATGTCCACGCAAGAGCCAAGCATAAATTTAGCATCACCAAACCGCCAAGACACTAGCAAAGGTAGTGCCACTCTTCTCGGTACCGCTATAGTAGGTGTAAAGCTCCCTAACGGTACAATAGTGCCGGTTCGAACTGTTATCGATTCAGCGGCAATGTCCACCTTTATCACCGCTAAGTGCGTAAAGAGACTCGGTTTAAAATACAAAGCATATCAGTCCCAAGTATTGGGGCTTGGAGACAAGGAATTGACGTTTTTTGGAGATGCTAGCCTGACTCTTATCCCGATCAACAAGCGGGGACCCGAGTTGAAAACCCAGGTGGAAATTTTGTTGAGTATCACGGAAAAACTACCGACTCAACCCATCGGGGCCGACGTCATGCAACGTTGGAGACACTTGCAGCTTGCGGATCCCAACTATCAAGATCCCTCAGAAATAGAACTTCTGATCGGAGCAGAGCTTTTTCCGTATATTTACACCGGAAATAAAATCTTGACAGACACTCAAGGCTGCGCCTTAGAGAGCATTTTCGGCTGGGTCATCACGGGTAAGATATCAATTCCCGCAACGGAGCCGCAGAAAAAAAGGACGTTAATCTCAACCGAAGGTGCCGCCCTAAATCAAATGCTAACCAAGTTCTGGGAGGTGGAAGAACCAGAGGCTCGAGTTGCTAGAAACCCGGAGGACGAGCGGTGCGAGGAGCTCTTCGTAAAACTTCATTACAGACTGCCGTCAGGTAGATTCGTGGTACCTCTGCCTTTGAAAACCGAAAATCCAGTGCTGGAAAACTCCTTTTGGCTGGCTAAACACCGATTGGAATCGGTAGAGCGCAAATTAAGACGAGATAAGGCGCTGAAATCAGCATACGTCGATTTTATGAACGAATACGAAAATTTAGGTCACATGGAGCTCTCAAAGACAACAGCCCATGCCGCGTACTATTTGCCCCATCACGGGGTCATCACCACCAAACTCCGTGTGGTTTTCGACGCGTCAATGAAAACTAGCAGCGGAATTTCACTGAACGACGTCTTGCATACAGGGCCAAAGCTGCAGGCGGACATAGTCCAAACATTGCTCAAATTCCGTACCTACAAAGTTGCCATGGCCGCCGACATCTGCAAAATGTTCCGACAAATTTTAATTAGACCGGAAGACCGGAAATACCAGCATATATTATGGAGACAAGACGAATCCGAACCCATCCGCGAGTACGAGTTGTGCACAGTGACCTATGGAATGGCAGCATCTCCCTTCCTCACCAATCGGGTGCTGAAACAGCTGGCAAAAGAGGAATGGGCAGAATTCCCGGAAGCATGCAAATCCTTATCAGAAGATATCTACATCGACGACTGGCTGTTTGGTCACGTGTCAATACCGAGGGCAATACAACTCAGAGACGCAGCGATTGAACTATTAAAGAAGGCCGGGTGTGAGCTGGCCAAGTGGGCGAGTAACAGCCCTGAGGCTCTTGAAGGGATCGAAGACTGCAACATGGCAACCCCTTTAGAGTTTGGTCAAGACAACGCAAATTCTTTGGGAGTCCTCGGCGTGAGATGGACGCCCCAATCAGACACATTTTCATATAAGCCAATGGAGTTCAGCCGAGTATGCACAAAAAGGGCGATTTTATCCAATATTGCCCGGATTTATGACCCAATGGGCTGGGTCACACCATGCGTTCTAGCAGCAAAAATCATCATTCAAAAGTTATGGATATCCGGAGTCGGATGGGACGAGCCAATCGCACATACACTGGCGGATCTGTGGCTGTCCTTGCTTGATGAACTACACTGGCTCACAGCCCTAAAAATACCGCGACTCATCATGAACCCGCATCTACAACTAATCACCTTAGTGGGTTTCTGTGACGGCTCGGAAAGTGGCTACGGAGCAACCATCTTTGTCCTAAGCCGGAATGAGCACGGAATCGAGTCCCATCTATTAATGGCTAAAAGCAAAGTGGCACCAACAAAGCCACTGAGTGTCCCCCGTCTTGAACTTTGTGGGGCACTTACACTTTCCAAACTTTTCACCATTGCCTTCACAGTGTTTTCAAGAACCGAATATAAAATCGAATACTTTCTAGGCCTAAGCGACTCTACGACCGTTTTAAGCTGGCTCACGACCCCAGCCTTTAAACTGAAAACTTACGTGGCAAACAGGGTGGACAAAATCCTTGATGTGGTCCCTTCAGTTGCCTGGGGCCATGTCTCAACTAAAGATAACCCTGCGGATCTGGCTTCGAGGGGTGTTCTACCCCAACGGCTAGTGAACAACTCCCTCTGGTGGACAGGACCTGAGTGGCTACAAACGGAGCGAAAGAACTGGAAAGTAACATCAGTACATTCGATCAAAGAAACAGACCTCCCAGATTTGAAGACAGAAAAGATAACTTTCATGGCTTTAAAGCAGCAGGATAATTTCATCACGCGCTTCTCAGAGTACTCAAGGCTGCGAATTGGCACGGCTTGGTGCCGTAGATTGTTTGCAAACCGAAAGAAATGGATAAGCGGCGAACTCCAGGTAACAGGCCCGCTGACGCACGAGGAATTGAGCGAAGCCACGGTTACTTTAGTTAAACTGGTTCAGAGCATGGAATTCCACGATGACATTGAAAGCATTAAAAGGGGAAAGCCCACGAGCCACCGGTTGGCACCATTAAATCCCTTCTTGGACAGCCATGGGATTCTAAGGGTGGGGGGTAGGCTACAGCGCTCAGCCCTTAGTTTCCAAGCGAAACACCCCGCTATACTCCCGAAAGATAGTCATCTAACGACCCTCTTGATCAGACATTATCACAAGGCACATTTACACGCAGGCCCTAGACTGCTTCAAAGCATCCTTACTCAAGAATTTTGGATACTCGCGGCCCGCAACGCCATTCGCAGTCAACTCCACAAATGCGTGACCTGTTGTCGATTTGCAGCGAAAATGACCCAACCGCGAATGGGAGAATTACCCCCGAGCAGAGTTACCCCTGCGAGATGTTTTTTGCGAGTGGGGCTAGACTTCGGCGGACCTGTGTATCTGAAACAAGGAGTCAGAAAAAACGCCTCATTGGTAAAGGCCTACATATGCCTCTTTGTATGTATGGCCACAAAAGCTATACACCTCGAGCTAGTATCCAATTTGAGCACAGAAGCCTTTCTTGCAGCCATCGATAGATTTATAGCGCGCAGAGGGCTATGCGAAGAAATTTTTTCAGATAACGGCACCAACTTCTTGGGCGCCAAAAACCACCTCAATGAGCTTTACGAATTTTTAAGAAGCCCATCACAAAAATCGGAGATACGCCGCGAGTTGGCCGAAAAGAGGGTGTCCTGGAATTTCAATCCCCCCCTCGCTCCACATTTTGGGGGAATCTACGAAAGCGGCATAAAGGCTGTGAAATACCACCTCCGGCGATCCATTGGAGACCAAAAGCTGAATTTCGAGGAGATGAGTACTATATTATACAAAATTGAAGCCATTTTGAACTCGCGGCCCCTGTGCGCGCTGGCATCAGAGCCTGAGGACATCACGGTACTTACACCGGCTCATTTTTTGGTCGGCGGACCATTGCTGAGCATGCCTGAATACGATTGGTCCAAAGAACCGAAAAATCGTCTGTCACGCTGGCAGCTTCTACAAGCGATTACTCAAGAATTTTGGCGACGCTGGTCGCTCGAATATTTGAACACGCTGCAACAGCGGCAGAAGTGGCTTACCGATACGCGCCCGATCGGCGTAGGAGACGTGGTCCTTATCAGAGAAGACGGTTACCCGCCGCTCCACTGGCCTCTCGGCCGAGTAACCGCAGTACATCCAGGAGCAGATTCGGTGGTCCGAGTAGTGACAGTTCAAAGGGCAAACGGTCGCCAGTTCAAGCGAGCGGCGGTCAAGCTCTGTCGACTACCAGTCGACCCGTAGATACTCAGTGAGTAGGAGTCAGCGTCATCGGAGCAGTGCACCATGGAGTCACCTTCAGCAGAATCCCTATCAAAGTTACTGCTAGGCGCGTGGATTGACAACGACGTCATAAACACTTATTGCCAACTGCTACAGCAGCACAGTGTAGATGTGAAAATCGTAGACTCGTTCCTTTTCAGTAAACTCCGGTTCCACGGCGTGGAACGAGCCAGAAACTCGTTCAAAGTAACCGCGGCATTTAATTTGTTACTCGTGCCAGTCCACTGCCCAACCAGGCAGCACTGGTTTCTGTTGGCAGCCAGTTTCAGTGATCGTACAATTGCATGCTTCGACAGTGCGCTTCACCACGAATCAGCGTCGCAAGCGCTGTCCGTGTTAAAAGACTTCCTGCTTCGGGTCTTTCCAAAATCTAGCGAATGGAATGTCTACGCCGCGCGGACTCCCCAGCAGCTGAACGGGCACGACTGTGGTCCGTACACCCTGTATTTTGCAGAATCGCTTGCGCGCCGAGCACCAATCGACCCTATAAGTGACTCATTGAGGGCGCAAAAACTTCGTATCCAACTTAAGGACCAGCTAGTGACGCGCCAAATCCTGCCGCTCGCGACGTCGCGCACTGACTTGAATCGCCCTTTCGCATTTATGTATCCACCCGTGCCTAATTTCTCTTTCTCGTACTATCCTCCTTCCTCCCCACCGGCCGCGCCAATGTGTCTGGAAGTCATCGACCTAAGTTCACCCTGCTCACAGGATTCAAGCCCGCCTACTTGTGACAAGGAAGTACTTTCCGGGACGGTTCCCGACCCCATCAGCCCCGAGGTGAAGGAGGCAATGAGGCGTTACCTCAATAGGACGGAAGGAAAGAAGAGGCTTTATCCTTTCCGCCTTAATTTCAGAAGAGGCAAATTCCAGAGGATCTACCCAGATGAAGTTAAAAGACTCCTAGAACGCAATTAATGCATGTAAAATTTTCATGTTCATCATTCAATTCATGTTTAATACACCGGATTAAGTATCTGAATCAATGCCTTTTTCCGTTAGCTAATTTTTTCCCGTTTTTCATAAATAGCATCTTATTTACTTTAAGTCTTGAAGTGTTTCTAATTTTTCTTAGCAGAAAAATTGGTGGGGGGTATGTCCAGGACACAGGTAGTCTGGCAACAGCGTTTACCTTCGGAGTCGCTTGTTACATAACGAACCAGTTTTCACACCAGCTCAGTTACATAAGCGACTGGTTTGTTGTATAACAAACCAGTTCCTGGGCTCCCATATAAATACAGCCGCGGAACGGCTGTTAGTTCAGTATGCGCTCTGCACCACTCACCTCCTGGGTACGCCTGTTTAAGGTTACCTTCCTTTGACTGGCTCGCCTGTTTAAGGTAGCACGAAGTCATTCCTCTCATACTATCCCGGGTACGCCTGTTTAAGGTTACCTTCCTTTGACTGGCTCGCCTGTTTAAGGTAGCACGAAGTCATTCCCGGGTACGCCTGTTTAAGGTTACCTTCCTTTGACTGGCTCGCCTGTTTAAGGTAGCACGAAGTCATTCCCGGGTACGCCTGTTTAAGGTTACCTTCCTTTGACTGGCTCGCCTGTTTAAGGTAGCACGAAGTCATTCCCGGGTACGCCTGTTTAAGGTTACCTTCCTTTGACTGGCTCGCCTGTTTAAGGTAGCACGAAGTCATTCCCGGGTACGCCTGTTTAAGGTTACCTTCCTTTGACTGGCTCGCCTGTTTAAGGTAGCACAAAGTTATTCATACCCTTCCTCATTTCTGCACGGGGCAACTGCCGCAATAATTTAAACAAGATTAGGTTCTGTTAAATTAAGGAATATTTCAGTTGAAAGTACATATTATTTTGTTTTCTCGTATCATTCATTTTCGGAGGTTCTCAATGATGACAATTTCGCGAGGCCGTGCGCCAACTTCGAATCTCTGAGAGAACCTCCCCTCCCCATTTCCGGGAAGATAGTCCGGCAATCACATTGTCTCTCAACGGCACCTTGCCGTATCATTCACGGTGAAAATGTAATCTTTATCCCCGTTTGTGACACTGTGGAGGCCTAAAATACGGGAACCAATCAGAAATGGATTCAGATTGTCTTGACTCTCAGTATAACGGGAATCCAGTGACGCTCATAGTTTCATAAACGCTAACGAAATAATCTTCGAGTCCAATTTGACATCAGCGGAGCGCGAGTTAATTAAGGGGAAGATTGATAATTTTCGGAGAGGGGGAGCCTCGTCCGGATCAAACACCTCAATCGTCGCCTGGGCCGGCGACGATTGTGATAGCGACACCTATATCGGGGGCTCTAATTGTCCGTCGGCGGATCGGAATGTGGGCGTAGGCGGCGAAACCTCACGCCCGCCACCGCCACCGCCGAGTCACGTAGCGCCCGGCGCGCGCCCATCCAACAAATTAGTTCCAAGCCGCCCCGGATTATGCTCCGTCGCAAAAGCAAGCAAAGGAGCCTCCTTTCGCCCCCCCGTCCCCTCGCGCCTACCCCCTGTTCGTGGCGAGGGCTGTTCGGCCGTAAATAACAGATCATTTTGTAGGTTCAAAGGCCTATGATCCCCATCGCGGTGTTGTCGGGATGCTGTCATGGGCTTTCTTGGGAGTGCGGTTTCATTTTGATAAAAAAAAGAAAGGAAAATGATAGGATTGTTTATTGCAACACAATTTACAATTAATAGCGACTAATTCTTCTTCCTAGGTTCAAAGGCCTATGATCCTCTTCGCGGTGTTGTCGTGATGCTGCCCTGGACTTCCTTGGGAGTACGGTCACGTTTTGATAAAAAAGAAAGGAAAATTATAGGATTGTATATTGCAACAAAATTTAAAATTAATAGCGATTAATTCTTTAGTGCTATCAATGTAGGTTCAAAGGCCTATGATCCTCTTCGCGGTGTTGTCGGGATGCTGTCATGGGCTTTCTTGGGAGTACGGTTACGTTTTGATAAAAAAAGAAAGCAAAATGATAGGATTGCATATTACAACAGAATTTAAAATTAATAGCGACTAATTATTAAGTGCTATCAATGAAGCAGAACATAGCCATAATGGAGAATTTGCACGCAAACATTTTATTGCTTCATCTGAAAGTGCCTAATGAGATGAGTTCACAGTATTTTACATAATTTTTTTCTGACATGAGAAATTTGAGAAAAATTGATTTAAAAGTGAGAAAATTTGCCGCCTTAAGACGTTATCTGGCGGCATTTCCCATTTAAACACACGTATTTTAGCAGATTAGATCATTTTGTCATATCTTCTCCGATGATTGTTCAATTCATGAACCAAAGGTATCCTCGTATTTAGCTCATTTAGTAGCGTCCACTTAAACGCAAAATTCATCAAATTTCAGACACCTGCAACCTCTCCATTGATCCATTGTCATAATTTATTATCTTGACTTTTGAACTTAAAAGACATCAACAACAAATAAACTTTTGAAATCCTTCTTACAAGTAAGCGAACTTTCTCAACAATAATGCTACCACAGAAACAGTATTAGCTAAAGTCGGAAGGTGTATATTTCCATTTTTTGTTTATTTCACATCGCAGGACGTAAATTTGACGTCCACTGGTGTAAAGGTTACCGCAGGTGGTATTACATCGGCACCGTTAATCGTTGCAAATCTGCTCAACAACTTATCCATGTTTGATCATCATCCTTTTCGCTTGTCTAAAAATCTCTATAATTTATTTTTTCAAAGAATAAAATTAGGCGAAACATGTCGTAGGAATGGTATGTGAATGTGTCGGAATGAATGAAGAATAGTCGCAACTTTTTTTTAAAAAACTTGTTGATTAGTTTTCTTTTTAGAAGATACAGCATAAGCGTACATTTGCAACGCTGCATTTAGTGATACATTTTTTTCTTTTAGCTATCCTTTTGTTAAAATTAATTACTCTTACTGAGAATACTGCAAATACTGAACCAACAAACATGAAAATTAAGTAATTTCGTAATAGCGGGAATACCTATAGTCAATATCAAATCATTAAAGAAAAACTGACACTGTTTGTTTTAACAATAGAATCGAATACTTAGTCATTTTTTGTTCAGTTTGAAAGTAAATTAGTTTTAATACAATGGTGGCAAACTAAATTAATTTGATCGAGTTTGGTGTGTAAGGAGATCGTTCTCCTGTAGGCCGTGGGAATCACATCAAATTTTGACTCTCACAAATAAAGTTTATCATACGGTTACATACCTTGTTACATACGGTTTCGGGCCATTTTTTTAGTGGTTTTTTCTCGTTCATACAGTTCATCTACATCCAAAAATTTTAAAAAAGACGTATGTGAAATAAGACTGATAGTCATAATTGTCAAATCTAGACACGCTAAAAATCAGAAGTGGAAATCCACTCGGCAATAGCAACAAAACCCCAGGAGTACTCGCAAAACCCACTGAAGACTTCAATTAAAATTCGAAGGCCTCTAGGGGTTTTCCCAACTCTCCTGTGTCAGGAGGCAACCGTCCTGTGTCAACTTCACTCTCCTGGATCATGCCTTTTTACCGCTTCGTCCTCGTTTTAATGGCAGCTCATGAACATTAAACTCAGTCCAAACCAGCCTCCAAAATCTAAGCCGAAAATCCAATCCACTCCTTTAGCGAATTTGTTCTCTCTTATCGCTCAATGCAGATAGGTTTATTTGGCACGATGGCGTACATTTGGTAGTCATAAAAATCTTCATATTTATGTAGTTACACAATTTTCTCCTCATCTTTGATCTACCCTGCCTATCTTTCCTCGTCCTTATTTTTTCCCTCCAGTCTCGTTTCTTGTCCTCCATTTAGATCGGTCCGATGATTCCCTGCACAGGAACGTTATCCGAAAAAGTGATGACAGGGCAGACGCCATTGTAATAAAACAAAGGACCAAACGATCCTTTGAGGGATGGTGGCCGGGCGATAATATCTTGTTAAAGGCTATGTCGACGTATGTCTATGGCCAAGGTCTCAGGGATAACCCTTCAACAAAAAAGTAAC